AGGGTGGACAGGGCCGGGGTGAAGATGCTGGACTTCCTTCTGTGGTGCACAGATAGGGTTGCTATGGGTCACAACCCCCTCAGTGGCCTGACTCGCGTCAGACACGGGGGCCCTCTCCGTAACTGAGTGAGGCCCATCAACAAGAATGTCTGGGTGGAGCCGATGAGGAAACGGAGACATGGAGCCTAACCTGGCCAGGGCACTCCAGTCTCCCAGGTAGAGTTCTCACACTGTCACAGAGGGATGGCGACAGCCACCCAGAGAGTCTGGCTCACCATCTGCAAAGGACTGGCTGCATCCCCTAAGCCCTTCCCCCAGTGTTGCCAGCAAGCAGCAGCCGCTGCGCCCCCGGCCCAGGCCCCTTCTCCCACGGAGCTGCCTGCTTGTCCGTGGGTGGATCCCAGGGTGTCCAGACATCTGAAGAAGCTTAGAGGGTGGGTGGGGGGCAGGAGGGATGGGCTCTGCCAGGGAGGCTGTGGGCTGCTTTTGCGGGTTGCGACAGACTGGGCAGGGCGACACCTTCCCTCCCACCTCCCACCGTTCAGCGGTTCTATTTTCCAGCCACAAAGCAGCTCCTGGCACCCTGCTGGAGTCTCGCCGAGTCCAGCCATCAGCCCCCACCTCAGCCCACCTCCATCTGCCTGGTGCCTACGTGTGCCGTGTCACACATGGTGGGCAAAGGCAGGCTGCACTCTTGGGCGGTGAAACCTTCCAGTCCCGGCCGGCCATGTGGAGCTGGAGTCTTGGGACTTGGAAGGTGGAGCAGCCCTCCCTGAGCTGGCTTGTTGTCTGCGAAGCTGCATCAGATGAAGAAGCATGCGGCATCAGGACGGGAGGAAGGCTGATTATCCAGCTGCAACGTGCCGGTGATACGCCCTCGCTTGCTGAAGCCCTGGCTGATGGCGATCAAGGATTGTAGCCTGCGGGGTGGACTACACCCCCGTGTGAAGGAGTCCCAAGTCCCCAACAGGTAAAGATGGAAGTGGTCGAGGGTTTCACCTTGCCTGGATCCCAGTCAGGGCTCCCGGAAGCAGCAGTTCAGAGATGAAAGGAGGCGCTGCCCTGGGTCAGTCTGCCGCCGAAGGCCTGGTTTACAGTGTTGAGACGCAGGGATGTCACTCCGAGGACTCCAGGCACCTCATATTCCTGTGCAAGGTGGACGCTGACCAAGGAAGACCAACGAGGAGTTGATGCATCGAAACGACGGGGCTGGTTTGGAATCTGAAACGCACCACGGACTGCCAAGGAGCAAGCAAGTCTGTCGTGGACGAAGTCCGGCCCGGAGGCTCCTCGAAGTAAGGGTGGCGAGACTTTTTCTCACGCTGTGCTTTGGACGTGTTGTCAGCAGAGACCCGTCGCTGGAAGAGGACGTCATGCTTGGTAGAGGGGCAGCGGAAAAGAGGAAGGCCCTTGACCAGACCATGGACACGGCGGCTGCAAGCAGGGGCTCCAACGTGGAAACAATGGTGGGGACGGTGCCAGACAGGGCAGGGTTTCCTTCTGTTGAGCACGGGTCCCTCTGAGTGGGAGCGGCCTCGGAGCAGCCTGTCCCTTGGGTGTCCTCGGCCATCATCGCTGCAGGAGCAGATCACAGACAGGCCTTCTCCAGTGGGACCACTGCGCAGATTCCAATCCCTAGCCGGGGGGTAGGCAGGCAGCCGAGCGCTTAGCCGCTGTGCCGCCAGGATCTTTTATTTTAATTTTTACTCTTGTAGGGAATGTTCAGCGACATGCCTACAATTTGACAGTCACTGTTCTGTGCATTCTGGATCAATAAGGAGTGTCCTGTAAGACAATTATCCTGGATACTCCTACACACCGGCATCGAGTTGATTGTGGCTCGCAGCATGCCCACAGACAGGGCAGAACTGCCCCGGTGGGTTTCTGAGGCTCTGCCTATCTTCACAGGAGCAGAAAGCCTCGTCTTTCTCCCTCGGAGTGGCTGGTGGTTTCAAACTGCTGGCCTCGTGGTTAGCAACCCAACTTGTAATCGACTTCCTGGCCAGAGCTCCTCAGGATTCCAAACCGAGGGGGTGAAACAAGTGGAACACAGCTCAGTATCGTCAAAGAAATCAGCCTTCACCGGGCGGGCGGGGCCCCAGCCTGGCACCACCATAGCATGCACCCTCTCAGAAGGGGTGGCAGAGTGGGGAAGACAAAGATGAATGAAATCAACTCGCAAATATCTTATTCCCGACTGTTCTAAGTGCAACTCCAACGGGGGTCTTCCCCACCCACACTGCCACCCAGGGAGCTGAGGGCCAGGTCTGCGACGCAGCCCGAGGCATGTGGCCTGCACCGGTGCGTCACCTGGAGAAGGGCTGAGACATCAATCCGCAGGCAGTCTGTTTCCAGCTCCGGCTGCCTCGGGGGGAGAGCTTTCCTGACGGAGGCCGGCAAGTCCCTTCCCCACATGTGGGTAGTGCCGTGGCCTTGAGGTGGTCTCACCATGCTGCGCCTCAGCAGGCCTCGGTACCACGGAAGCACTGAGTTGACATGGGACATAGGGAAGTGCCAAGCACAGGCCACTCTCCAGCCAGTTCCCAGGAGGAAAAAAAAAAAAAAGGAATTGGTTGTGAATCTTTTCCACTCCGTTCATGGCACTTCTGGTCAGTACGGAGTCTTGAGACCTGAGGCAGAAGTGAGCATGGGCCTCATGCAGCTGAGGAGAAGCCGGGAGTCCCTAACTGGGAGGGGGGAGGTCTGGGAGAGTGCAGTGCTGCTTAGCAGGGGAGAGGGCCCTGTGAAAAGCCCACCCTTCCAAGAAGGAAATGGAGATGAGCCAGGCTATGGATGGGAGGCCAGGGGCAAAGTCAGAGGAATGTCGAGCCCGAGCCCTTTCCCGTGGATGGCGTAGTAGTTACATAATCTGGTGTCAACTTGAGACTATTAAGAGTGACGGAGTAGAGTTGAGCCTGTCAGTCAGGTCACAGCTTGATGACCTCATTTGGAGGTGCTAGGGAGGAGATGAATACCTCACTGGAGGCTGATACACTCTCTCCCGGCGAGACATTCCTGTTGACAAGACATATGGCGCTACGGTGATGGCAGCCAGAGCCCTGGAGCTGGAGGAGCCATGTGGAGACCCACGCCACAACCACTGGATCCACAAGACTTTCCATCCACTGGCTGTGATCTTCCTGCACTTGGCGTCATTGCATGTGTTGTGTGAGTCTGAAGAGGAGTTTATAGACTGGTATCAGACATATGGGCTAATATCCGACTTAGGACTTGGACTGCTGTGGTAGTTACATAATCTGGTCTCAATGTGAAAGGATTACGAGTGAAGGGGTGGAGTCTAGTCTGTCAATCAGATCATAGCCAATGAGGCCTCTGTGTGGGCATGGCCTTCTCCTGAGGATTCTGGGAATTCCTGGATTTCCTTTGGAGGCAGGAGACAGTCTCTCTCTCTCTCTGCTCACTCCCTTGAAATCTACTGACAACACTCACTCCCTGAGAGACCTTCTACTGACAAGACACATGGCATTATACTAATAGACCCCATGCCCTGGGTACTGGAGAAGCCACATGTAGACCCCTGCCAGTGCTGAGATGCTTACAACACCACTGGATCCAGACTTTCTACCCACTGGCTTGTGATCGTCCTGCATTCAGCGTCATTGCATGTGTTTCATGAGTATAAGACTTTATAGATTGGTATCAGACACATGGGCTAATATTGGCTTTATGGGCTTGGACCAGACTGGGTTGGGATGCTTTTTAATATACAATTACTTTATTTAAAACTCTCTCTTATACACTTATGTGTCTATGGATGCGTTTCTGTAGTCTGCCCAGACTAACACAACTGGATTGGGCTGGGATGTTTTAATGTACAATTGCCCTTTGATATAAAGTTCTCTCTTACATATAAGAAAGCTCTTACACTTAAACATATGTGTCTATGAATTTGTTTCTCTAGTCCACCCAGACTACACAGATGGCATCCAGAACTGGGAGAACAGTGAGGAAAGAGCCCCCTGCCACCGCGGGTCAAGATCAGAAGCTAGAGGACTGGAGACGACCTCTCTGCTGTGGCATAGTCTACAGTAGCACACGCCTCAAGCAAGGCTGACCTAACGGCCCCACACGGGCCAAAACTCCTGGGGATGTGGCTGCTTTCCCTCCCCTTTCTTGGGTGAGGGAGGGCTCCCCACTGAGCTTGGCTCACAAGGAAGTGGGGGCACCCCTGAGGTCACAGGACAGAGATGTAGAGGTGCACAGAACTTGCTGAAAATTGGAGCACTGCCCCAAGAGGAGGGCAGCCGAGTGGCCAAGACCAGCTTGGGCCCTTCCCAGGGCATGTGCCAAGGAAGGCCCCCTGACCTGAGAGGTGAGGTGGGGTGGGGCAGCCTCTCTGGGATGGTGTGCTTCCGAGGATGGCACAAACACCTTTGCGCTGGTCCGGTGGAAGAGGCGGCGGCGATGCTGCCCCAGCACCTCTCTTGGGACACTCTTTCTACCAAGGCTGGCCTCCCGGGGCAGCTCCCAGGCTTCCCTGGGAGACAGACCCCTGCTAGGCCAGGGCTGTGAACACCCCATTCTTCCTAGAACAGGCCGACCCTCTGAGGTGGGCTGGGCTGCCTCCTGAGATTGCTTTAATTCCACATTCAATTCTGCTGCTGCACCGGGAGCCTTGCCTAGTCCTGCGTTCAGACCCCGGCTCTGGGGCTTGTGCTTTTCCATGATGGCGAGCGGTAGGTGACCTCCTCCCTCCATTACACTGAGCTCAGGTGACATTCTGTGCACCCTTGGTCAGGACTCAGGCCCAAGAAAAGTCCTTCTTCCTTCTCTGGTCTTGTTGGGGGTCAGGCCAGAGATGGACCTAGCATTGGCAATAGACGCTGGGCTGATAGCAGGCCCTCCCTGCCACGCTGCCCACGCCCCCTTCCACCAGAACAGCTGTTAGCGCACTCATTTTATACAGGTTCTGCTGACCTGTGAGGAAGCTGTGCCCATTTAAAAATAACTAAAAAGTAATTAAGTCAACAGAAGGCCAGCATTTTGAATTCATTTTATTTAAATTTTCACAGAAATGTGATTATAGTTAAGTGTCATTATAAGTCATTTTAACAAGTCTACAAAAATGCACATATAGTGCCAGAATTCCTTCAAAGCAACCAGTGTAGTCTTGCTTTGCATAAACCATGCATTAACATAAACCACCACACCTTGACCCAAACCAGTCTCAACCAGAAGAGATGGGCCCATAAAGTCGCTAAGAAACTAGTTCTGAACAAGTTTAAAAAAAAAGCATTTCTGGTTAATGTCCGGGAAGGAAGTTACCTGTCCTAAAACCAGCTCTTCAGCCCTGGGTGGGTGCCTACAAGACTCGGCCCTGCCTTGTCAGGGGAATTAAGGAAACCTTCTGATAGTTAAGCTCGACAGTTGAGGTGAAAACTTACAGGCCACAGTGGTATGCAAATAGTGCAACCTTGTAGGGGCACAAAAACCCAGACTTGGAAAAAAGGTTGGTGTGGCATGGATGTCAGCCACCTGTCCTCTCCCAGCCAGCCCAGGGTATGACATTGCTCCATGGCCAGGATCCCTGCCCGCCCACAGCCGCAAGGACCCAGCCTCGGGAGTCTTCACACAAGCCAGCGGTGTCCCGGGTGCTGTTCAAGGCCCTGGCCTGTAGACCTAGTTCATTTCTGCCAGGGGTCATGGGCACTCGTGTCTGACAAGCCAGCTCACACAGAGGAATATTAAAATACACGTGTGGCCCAGGGCCTCGAGTGCTTCTGGGAACCCCTTCCTTGGGAAGAGGCAGCTGTGTTTCCCACACAGACTAAGGGCCCTGCAAGAGATCCAAGAGGAAGGGCTTCCCTTCAAGTGGGGGCTTTCTACAACACTCCACGAGGGGCTTCACGGAAGCGCTCACAGACCCAAGGGAGCCAGCGGTGGGTGGTCAGGTCCCCATACTGAAAAGCCCACGGCCTTCTGGGGGCCCTCGCCAAGACAGGACAGTGACCCCCTGCTGTCTGCCAAGTGTTCTTTCTGCTTCAGCACAGATTTAAGGGGGAGGGAGGAGTAATTTGGGTTTGAGTAACATTTTCTTAATATCAAAATAGGTCCATTATACTATATGCTTACGAATATCCCTGATGATATACAGAAACCCAGAGAGATTTGTAAACCAGCAAGATTCACAGGGGTGGGGCTTGAGCCAGTGGGTGGGTCTTCGAGGAACAGGACAAGGGCTGGGTCCTTCCTATAGGCTTTCCAGGATGGCTGTAAGCATGACAGTCCCAACACTCGAATGTCCTAGTGTCAGTGGGATTAAATTATGCATGAAATTACTAACAGAAGTTGCTTCCTTGACTCTGACATTATCCAATCGCCTTGCCTGAGACAGACAGATAGACAGGCAAAACAAACCATTTGTCTTGGCCGCCCAAGGGTCCTGAAGAAGCCGCTCTGAGGTCCCTTGCATACCCGCCACAGCCTTCAAACAGCAGGGTGTGGGTGAGTGGAGGCAGCTCTGGGCCAAGGCACCATGATCACAGGCAAGGGACCCACACTCACAGCGGGAAGAGACCCTTCAGAGATGCCCAACAGCCGCCCCTGGGGCAGAGCAGACATGGAGGGAGTGAAATCATTCCTAATGAGAGACATTTCCTTTCCCAAAGCCAAACCCAACTTCTGAAAACTGAAAACCACCCACTGTGGGGCTGACAGGTGGGGAGGCATCTGTGGCACGGGCTGCGCCACACTGCGTCCTGAAGCAGCTGTGAGAACAGCACACGCTTGGTGGCTACTGCAGCTGGAGGGAGGGAGGGAGGGAGGGAGGAAGCCAAGGTCTGGAGGAGAGGAGGCTGGAAAGCGGACCAATCGTGAAAGATGCCACTTTTATTCCTGGAACCCCAAGTGACACTTTTGTTGGCCCGAGAGAGAAGGCTCCGCCCTGGCGTTCTAGCTGCAATAATACTGCATGCCGTCCACCCGCCGCCTCTTCTTCGACTGAAACTCTTCAAAGAACTGCTGGATGTCTTCTCTCTTAACAACCTGGGGTGGAAAGCAGAGGAGAGGCGACTAAATGACAGAGCAGCCAGGATGGGGCCTGACCCTCTGAACATAAAGTGCAGAAACCAGTGCATCCCCGGAGCCCGTAGGCACCTTCAGGACGCACGGAGAACAGAGGAGGTTGTCCCGTCAACCCCCGGGAAGCAGCAGACAGGAACTCAGAAATGGCGCACTGCATCGGAAAGACGCTGCAGAAAACCTTTTCAAAGCACTAAAAAGCTCAGAGTCACTGAAGAGAACAGGGCTGCCCCTGACCCAAGTCCTGGCTTGTTTGCGTTTCATGGGCACTTCATCCACCTATCACACGATAGTTCAACCACATCAAGAAGAGTTGTACACGCATCGCCAAAATCCATTTTAGAACATTTTCTTTCTCATGGTTAAATAGCTTTTAAAATGAGATGGTAATTACCATCAGTTCTAGTGCTCCCTGCCTCCTCCCACTGCCCCCTCCGGCTCCTATCTCCCATCCCAGCGCTACACCCCCCTATCCACCCTCGCATCAGTTCTCATCCCTGTGCATCTACTCCTTCTGTGCCTCACAATCTGGGGAACCCAGCAGTGACCATTTTAAAAAAGAAAACAAAATAAAGTGGTAAAGATAAAACAGCAACAACACAAAATGAATAAGAAAGAAAAGACCACCATGAATATTTAAAAAGGAAAAAAAAATGCCTTGTCATGAAACAAGTAAGAAATACTTGCTTGCACCTATAACAAATTCAGGTTGCGTCGAGAGAGGTCAAGTGACCAAGTATCAAGTTCGATCCAGTATAATCACGGATTACAATGATCTCTATCTGATAGTAGAGCTGTTTGAGACCCCTGTCTGTGTCTACAGGGGATCTGCCAGCAGCTTAATCTGACTAGATGCTCTGCAGATGAATTTTGGGTTCCTAGTGTCCTCCACGGCCTTCTACAAATTGCGTGTTCAAAATTTAGGCTCTGATACTTTTCCCTTTGTCATATTTGAATTTTGCTATTGTCATCTCTGGATCACACAAGCTGCTGTGCTTCTTCCATGTGGACTTAGTTGACTCCTTATTTAAATGGCTACTTGTTTAAATACAAGCCTTTAAAGACCCCAGACACTATTCCAATTGATAGCTGGACACCATGTGCTTTCTTCACCACCCTTTGCTGTAGCACCTTATCTTCAGTGATCATTTCACGAAGGTGAGTCTTGAGTAGGGCCAGGTGATCAGAACTGACTGCTGCTCTTGGATTGGGGCGAGAACACAGTGGGGGCCCAGTCACGCTGTTGTTTTACCGTCTCAGATGCAATGATAAATAAGGCAGAATGAACAAGTATCGAGTATCGAGTACACCACAGACCGCCTGCAGGGCCGACACTGGCTGAGAGAAGCACAGCCAAGTGCGATGGCAAGACTTGGTCCTGCATACTTTAGACATGGGGTCAGGAAGGACCCCTCTCACTGACAGAGGATCTGAGCATGACCAGACAGCATTTCAGTGTTGGACTAGGGGGCTTCAAGATGCTCTTGGAGAAATGGAATTAAAAGGTACTGTACACTTTCCATGAATTTTTTGAAGCCCTCTCATAGGCAGGCTACTGTCATGCTATCCCCATGGGCTGGGAGAGAAAACCAAGGCTCAGAGAGTCGGACCATTCAGAGCATCACACAGCCAGGCAAAACGGCACAATGCTTAGAACCTTAGTTCCCACCACCCACCTCGGATTTCTCATACTAACGGAGACCCACGAAGCAAGTGACTCCAGGGGCCATTTGAAGGTCACACGGCGCTAACTCTTATGTGAAATGCCTCAAATGCGTACTCACCGTGAATTATACCCGACACGTGCCTGGTCTTGGGGCTGAGAAGCAAGCATGACACTAGACAGAGGCCAGCCCCTGCCACAGAAACGACTTGCTGGCCACACAGTGACCTCGGGGACATTCTCTACAAATGGGAACGCCGTTTCAGAGGAGGCTCTCTGTACAGGCAGGCAGTGCCTTAGGCCTGGCCCGACAGTGATAGGAAGGGACAGGGATCCAGCCCTCAGGGACCGCCTTGGGCGTACTTCAGGTCTGATCCCCCTCTGTACTTCTGGCTCCAACAGAGTGAAACACTGAGCCCCCGTCAGGACAGCCAGAGGCTGTGAAAAATCAAATTCCATTTTGTGTCAGCATTGGAAAATTGGGAAAGTATTTTAAAGGGGAAAAAAATTATAAAAAATGATTAAAACTGAAAAGTCTAGGAAGCATTTGTCAAGTCATGTGGGAGCCTGGTTTCAAACAGGAAACACTGCAGCCAGCACTGCCTTCAAAGTCCCTCTCTAGAGTACGAGGCAGGTCTTTGTCCCCATGAGAAATCCCTCCACTCTGTACCCTGGAGTCTAGTATCCTGTCTGGCAGTCCCACTGCCCACTCCTGGAGCTCCTGGCTCCCACAGGGCAGGGATGACCTGGGGTCCTCCCAGTAGCCAACTCCTCAGCGACCACTACTGGGTTTTCACAACACCCTCACATATGTAACATGCAGAAATGATAAAATGAAGCAAGGCCAGTTCTGACATGGCTGTATAACATGTGCTACTGGTGGGACACTAGGGTGCCCTGCGCAGATTCTCCTTGGCTGCTCCCTCCCTTCAGCCCTTCCAGCCCAGGGTGAAGCCTGGTGGGTCTGGATCTGCTGCTCTCCCCCCGCCCACCGGCACCTCTCAACTCGCCCAGCTGGGGGGCACCTTCATCTTTTTCATCTGAAGACACAGGAGTATGGGCTTCAGCTCAACCTACCGTGCCTTCGTCAGCAAATCTCTTCAGATAGTCTTTAAGTTCAGTCTTCAAGTCGTTGTACTCTAAATACAAACAACAAAAGCCCACTTCACACTCGGGCAAACCATTTGCTAGTAAAAACAAAATACTCTCTACCATTGACATTGGAGTATGCCCATAATTTAGACCAAATTCTCCTGAATTTAAACCTGTCTAGAAACAGATTACCAATTCTCCCAATGGCCCTGGGCTTCCTTCTGATAGAGAGATACAGAGAAAGAGAATCGATATCCTCACTCCCAAGCAGCTGTAAGCTATTGTTGAGGTCTATTAAACAATTCCAATCTTTCACTTCCTTTGCAGGAAATAAAAGAGAGATTTCAGTTTTCATTTATTCAGGAATTTTTTTTTTACAGTAAGGGCAACTTTTGAGAGCTTCCTGTGCGCGCACACACACACACACACACACACACAATGTACCACAGATCAGCTCCACTTGTTGGACTCGATTCATGCTGTTCAGGGTGTCCATTAGAGGGTCCCGTCGCTCAGAGGCCTGCTCAACCTTGCCTTTGTTTTCATAAGCCAACACGGTGTCAGACTCGTCGGTCAGGAACAGGACATCAAGGTCTGCGTACATTTTCTTCAAGAAACAAACAAATGTTCTCTCTGGGACTCTGGCTCACTGTGGGCAAGTCAACCGCACGAGAAGCTGGAAGCCTTCTGCAGTGGTTTCGGAGGGAGCGACCAGGAAGACCTTTGGGCAGAGAGCTGCTTGACTCCTTTACACCTTTGACCCCACTCCCTCTCCGAAATCCCAACTCATTGCAAGAGGTCTGGTTCTATGAGGTTCTGTTAAAAAATGACTGAGACACTGTAACTGTCAAGTTTTGTTTCAAGTAGCTCTATGACTTAGAAAGATAAACAGTGTGATAAATATGTAAAGAAATATTGCATAATTCTTCATTTCTTCCATATACATGATTTTCAGACTGCAAGCCGGATTTTAAAAACTGACATAATACAAGGTTTTACAATCTTCCTACCTCCCCTAGCGGTAACCCCAACAATATCCTTTCCGGGTGTCCTGGCCTCAACCAGGCACTCACCATGCAGCCTTTGCAGGTGCATAACTTGCTCCGCCAGTTCAGGGGCCAATAGGTGGCAGTGTCTTTCTTCAGAAATGGTTTCGCTTTAAGTTCCTCAAATTTGCAGCTGAACTGGGAGTCTCCCTGGAGACTCTGCTTCTTAGACGCTGCCTAAAATAAAATTAAGTTTCGAAGAGTGTTTGCAAAGCTACTATAGTTGTTAAGTTGCCATTGTGTCAAGGTATACCGTTACGTCTAAGGTACCGTTGAAATCCCAAGGGACAGGGACAGTGGGGACCAGACTCATGGGGTCTTTGTTTTACTTGTTCTATGGCCCATGCATGCTTCCTACGTTACCTGGAGACCAGCCTCGGAGCTGGAGCTGGTGCCCGGCTCGTTAGTCTGCTCTTTCCCGTCTGTGGCAGCAGCATTCCCACGTGCGGGGGTGTCCTCTCTGAGAGGGCCAGCCTGATGATCTCCATTTTCCCTTTTAGCACCTTCCTGATCACCTTTGCCGTCAACACTCGGCACCAAGCCATCCTCCTCAGCAGACGGCTTAGTGACTGCGGGCACGAAAGAAAAAGCACACACCACTTACCGACTGGCCGACCTGCCAAACCCGAGAACACTGAGCTTGATTAAAACGTTATTTCAGGATCTGAAAGAGGGAAAGAGCCAACTTTTAGGGCTGAGAAGGACAAGAAGTTAAACTAAGCCAACTGGTCATTTGAAAAGCGACATCATGGTTGAAGCACTGCGTGGAGGAGGGACTACTGCAGACTGACAGAGGGCTGACTCCGACACCAGTGGCGGTGGCTGGGGAGAGACTTACGTGCGGACACAGGTAGAAGGAGAGTTTGGGGGGAAACGATGGGAGGAGGACAGGAAAAAAGGGCAGGGTTAGAGAAAGGATGTCTGTCGGGGAGAAGAGAAATGGTTCGGGGCCTTGTCCTGGGCATGCCATTTCACTGTCGTAAGAGATGAGGCCCTCTGGGATGGGGGCGGCGACGGGAGGGAGAAAAAGATAAAGAAAACCGAGGCGATGAGGGAGACACACAGACCCAGCGTCTGTGGGACAGGAAGCGAGCGTCCGAGTCTAAGGACTCCGGGCAAATTGGAGGGGCGTGGTGAGAGCTTAGTTAGGAGCAGCCAGGGAGCTGCCCGTGGGGAAGAGTTCCCTGAGGCAATGATGAGGTCACAGCCACGGCTCTGAGTAATTGTGATGAGATGCATGAGCCCAATAAAATGATCTTAAAAATAAGTAAATACATCCACCAAGACCATTCTTTATTCACTACTATACGAAGGGGCTTCAAAAAGTTCGTAGGAAAATCCCATTGTCGTTTCATTCAATTTTTCCATGAATGGTTTGTAGCCCTCTTGTGGTTTATGCAGCCAATGTGCACACAGCACATTTTTGGGGTGCACTTGCAACCCCCCTCGTTACTTTCCTATGCAAGTTATAAGCATTGGCGCACTATCTGTAGGAAAATACTGCAGTTGGTTGGGTCCACTTCTGTCAAATAAAGCTCTGACCAAAACCCCGGGCTTGGAGTTGATCTGACTCACGGCGACCTGACACTGGGTTTCTGAAGGTTTGCAAATCTGTACTGGGCAGACAGCCTCGTCTTTCTTCCAAGAAGTGGCTGGTGGCTTTGGACTGCCAACTCTGGGATCAGCAGTCCACTGCTGACTTGACAACGCCACCAGGGCTCCTTATAATGATAACAAGGCATCCGATTAAATAATAACTAACCCCCCCTCCCCAGCCAAGAGTATGCCTTCAAGAACAACTTATTTTCGTTTTCTTTCAAAGCTCCATTCAAAACTGCCTTCTCTATTTTCTCTACTTCTGGTCCATCCACTGTCTGTACCACGGGTCAAGCACACATCATTTTCCGCACAAGTCTCCCAACCAACCTTTAGGCCGGTTATAGAGAAGGGGTTTGGTTAGTGAGGACACAATACTGGGCAGGGCAGCAACTGTGGTCCTTAGTAAAATGAGGGAATGAACAAATCCTTGACCGCTCTCGGATTCACCTAGCTGCCCGCCAGCAGCCATGAGGACCAGGAAAGGGTTACAGGAAGGTAAACACTCTGCAGCTCTCAGTCCTTTCACCCCGCTACCTGACAGCAGGTTTTAGACCTCTGTAAGTAGGTTACTCACATTTTCCCATTCTACATAGGAACTAAGACCCCAGAGGGAACGTGAGCCAGACATGCAGTGTGTGGCCAATTAAAAATAAAAAACAATTTGTAAGCGCCCCCAATAAAATAATTAACAAAAGAAACAAAGACGTAAACAAACAAATACACTGTCATCAAGTCATTCTGACTCATGGAGCCCCACAGGCCAGGGTGGAACTGCCCCTTTGGGGTTCTGAGAATAACTCTTTATGGGAGTAGGCAGCCTCATCCGAACGCACAAACTTCACAAGCACAAGTGTGTGGCCCACCTGCCAGCTGCGCAGCGTACGCCCACAGGAAGGAGCAGCGCCTCATGCAAGTCTGGCACACCATCTCCTGGAAATCCCCACTCTCAGGGGGCGCAGCGCCAAGGTGCTGTCAAGACAGAAAATAGGGTCTTTTTCTTGTGGCTGCCAACTTGTCCAAAGGGCCCATTATTTTATACACCCACACAGGCAGGCCTCGTTTCATCGCACCTCACTTTACCTCACACTGAAGATATCTAGGTTCTTTTTTTTTAACCCAGCAAATGGATGGCTTGTGGCAACTGGTGCCATTTTCTCTACGATGTGTGCTTGCGTTGTGGGCCTGTATCCTGTATCACATTTTGGCCATTCTCACAACCCTTCACAAGTTCTCATAATGCTATCACGCATGTAGCAGACTTCAGTACAGTGTAAACATAGCTTTCATTTCTACCACGGCGAATGCCCCAAATCTGTGTGACTTGCTTCTATTGCACTATGTGCTTGGTTAGGGTGGTCGGGAACAGAACCTGCAGTATTTCCATGTGGCTGTCCTACCTATGGCGACACTGCAGGACAGACTAGAACAGCCCACAGGCTGGACTCTTCACTCTGCAGCGGCTGGCGGGTTCAAACTGGCACCTTTCTATTTGCAGCCGAGTACTTGAACTGCTGGGCCACCAGGGCTCCGTAAATATTGCAACAGCACACTAATATCTTTATACTTTGAACAGAGTGGTAATGATGTAAAATATAGCAATCCAAAAGGGGGAAAAAACTTTCACCTTATTCTAAAGACAGTACAATAGCTTAAGAAGGTATAAGCGGCTTCCTCACCCTTCCATGGAACCAGTCTTCACAGACCACACACTGGATCATCTCATCTGGAATCTGACACAGAGAGGCAGGGGTTTGGTTAGTGAGGACACTGAATACTGGGCAGGGCAGCAACTGTGGTCCTTAGTAAAATGAGGGAATGAACGAATCCTTGACCGCTCTCGGATTCGCCTAGCTGCCCGCCAGCAGCCATGAGGGCCAGGAAAAGGTTACAGGAAGGTAAACACTCTGCAGCTCTCAGTCCTTTCACCCCAGCTACCTGACAGCAGGTTTTAGACCTCGGTAAGTAGGTTACTCACATTTTCCCATTTTACATAGAAACTAAGACCCTAGAGGGAACATGAGCCGAGCCATGTAGCGTGCAGCTGGTGGGACTTTTTACTACCCCGGGCTGCCAAGACAACTGAAAGCTAAGTGTTACAAATATCATCATATGGACACACACAGTTCTTGCATCTGAATTATTAACTAAAGGCTAACCCTAGACAAATCACATTCCAAAGGACAAAGACGATTTTCGGAGTGATTTTCCTTTCATTCCTAGGATTTCTTATCTACTGATGAACACCCCCTCCCTGTTGGGCCAGCCTTTTCCTGCTGAGATTTTCTGCCTTAATCAACTGATCCATCATCCTTTCTATTTTCTCTCTTTTCCCCAGCCTCTTGATCCTACAGCATTCTAAGTAACACGCTGTCCCAGGCTTCACAGCATTCAGAGTTGGTTTAATGTTTGTCAACTCAAAGAAAGCTTTGCTTTGTCCCTCTGTTTAATTTGGCTCAATAACAAGACAATGAGAAAGCCGGGAAGGCGAGGGATCTAAATAGGGAAAGATCTCCATCGAATTAGTCACACGCACAAAACTCAATGCAATCAAAACATGGGCCAAGGACTGGCCCCACCCAAAAAAAAAAAAAACCCAAACAATTCTGAATAAAGGTTATCACAAATGCCCATTAAACTTATGAAAAGATGTACAACTTCACCATGAATAAAAATTAAGAAGATACTATTACTTGTCTGTCACATCGACAAAATCTTAAACGCCTGAAAATACTTACAGTTGATGCTATTGGTAGTTCAACCCTTTTGGCAGACAGAGTCAGTGTTGTTGTTTTTCGAGGGATTGGTTATTCTTTTTGTTTTAGATTTACTTTGCTCTTGTTGCAAACACACACAGCAAAACGTACCAATTCAACAGTTTCCACATGTAGTTTAGGACCTGAATGACAAGGTTGGTCGGTACAACAATCCCTCCCCTCCCTCCTTTCCTGTTGTTCCTCCCTCATTACATAAACTCACTGTCCCTGCAGCGTCCTTGCTGGAGTCACTCGGATTCTGGACCGATAGCACTTAAGAGAGTCTGATGTTGAAGCAGCCCTTCTTTTACGAGGCAAGCTGAACTACTGTTTGGTTTTCAGATTTCATGGCATGGTGCTGGTTGAAGGTTTAAAGATGATCTCAGGGCAATCGTGTTAGGGGTTCATCTATCCTCCAGGGCTCTAGAAATCTGTTCTGCATTTTCCTTCTTTTGATCAGAATTCTTCTGTGGATTAAAATATGCCGGAATGCTAGCTGGGCAACCATCCAGTTCTTCTGGTCTCAAAGCCAAGGGGAAGTTGTTCATGGAGGTGATGGGCCACACACACATTCTATCAAAACTCAAAGTCAGTGTCATCGAGTTGCTGCCCGGGTCTTTCTCCTGAGAGGCAGCTGGTGTCTTCAATCAAACTGCTGACCTTGAAAGTCATAGCGCAATGTGTAATCATCACTACACCACCAGGGCTCCTTCTAGCTTCCTCCTCTTGCTGACTCTCCTTACTTCTCTGCTGCTCCAGGTAAACAGAGACCGAGTGTTGTTTGTGCAAGCTTTTAAGACCCCAGGCACTACGCAAGTCTGACACATCACTGGCTAGATTTATGCCTAAGCATTCCATTTCCTTCTAGGAGCCCTGGTGGTGCAGTGGTTATGCATTGGGCTACATTCTGCAAGGTGAACAGTTCGAAACCATCAGCGCCTCCTTGGGGGAAAGACTGGGCTTTCTACTCCCATAAACAGTTAGTCTCAGAAACCCACAATGGGTTGTTATGAGTTTGCATTGACTCAATAGCAGTGAGTTTTTATTTTACTCGCTCCAATGCTATCAGAAATAGAAATATTTCCCTCATTTCCTTTTCAGATTTCTCAGTGCTAGTGTACAGAAATCCATTTGATTTTTCTGTGTTGACTTTGTACCCGACAACCCTGCTAACTTCCTCTATTACCTCTGGAAGTACTCTTACAGACTGTTTGGGATTTAGGATCACACATGTTAATGCAACTCTTCTTCAACCCACTGATGCCCACCCTAGGTGAATACTTGTTGGAGAGCACTCAGAAAACTGTACAAGGATGCTCCCTGCAGCCTTCTTCACACTGCAGTACAAAAGGAGACATCACCACTCCAGTACAGGAGAACATTTAGAGGAACTAGTTCATGCATATACAGTTAGAATGCTGTAGATTTGCATGTGAGACATGCAAAGATGCCCATTACATACACTTGAGTAAGAGAAGCAAGTTGCAGAACTAAATGCACGAATTTTCACTTTTGTTAAAAAGAAAAAAAATGCAAACATGGAAACCCAAGTTCACTAATTATATACGTATGTACTGTAAATCATACACACACATATAAAGTAGAGCAGTTAGGCAGGTGGAAGGCACAGTAGTGAAGTAAGAAAAAAAATCAGTATTTTTGTTATGGTTCTAATAAAAAAATGTAAAGGACCCAGTTTATATACTCAAACTCTAGCTTTTTGCATTCCAAAGAGGCAAGAATTTAAAGGGCAGGTCTTGAGTGAATGGGGAGGGTGTGGCGAGCAGATGTGGAGAGCAGGCAGAGAGAGAAAGGGCAGGAGTCAGAGGAAAAGAAGGAAAGAAAGGAGGCTTGGTGTCGGGAAAGCCCTGCCCAATGTTTCAGTCTCGTGATGTGAAAGTGAGAAGTATAGTTCCGATCTGTACCAGTTGTACATTTAGCCAGAATTCAAAGGAATACACAGAAGATCCTTTTACAATTACTAAAGGCCCTCCTGAACAGCTCAAAAGCCAAACAAACTCACTGCCATTGAGCTCATTCCAACGCATAGCAACCCTATAGGACAGGGTACAACTGTCCCTCTGGGTTTCCAAGGCTGTAACTCTACAGAAGTAGAAAGCCTCCTCTTTCTCCAGGGAAGCAGCAGGTGGTTTCGAATTGCTGACCTTCCAGTTTTCAGCTCAACATGTAAGCACTACGTCACCAGGGCACCAGTTACAGATACCTGAGAGGCTGAGGAGTTAAAGCCAGACCTGACAGAGTCCCCCAGGTTTGAATCTCCAATTCTCTTACCTCATCTTCAGGATCAGGATAAGGTCTCTTGCAAATGCAATACAATCCAAAAAAGTTGTCATTGTACTTATTGCCTGAATTTGCCTTTGCTTTATCCTAGAAGAGAATTTCAGCATGTAATAGGGCCCAATTGTCATTCACCAGGAGATATATGTATACATTAAATAAGTATCTTGTCCAACTCCCCCGAAACCGGTCTTTCACTTTCTAAAGTACAATTGGGGTGGGGTGGGGTGGGTGGGGGAGATCACTCCTATAAAAGGGATACTTCTCCCAAGATTCACAGGAAAAAAATGAAATTTATGTTTTGGAACATTGAGGAAAACCCGATATACCCATTCAATTAAACAGACATAACAGTTCATCATTATCAACCTATGTAAATGGCTACTGCTCTCGGCCCTGCAGAGACAGTCAAGGACCCTGGGTTACTAGGAGATCACAAAGAGGTAAGGGAATTATCTAAAAATCACCTTCAACGCAGCGAACAAACTTGACAGCTGGAACAATTATGACTGAACGAGGCATCACTGTCATTTCTGTTGTTTTTACTAAAGGTTACTGTCTCAGCAGCTTTTAGTCACTAAACCCAGGAAAAGGCCCTCATGTGTATCTAGCCCACATTCCTGGTCACTGCATTTTATATATTCCCTTTTCTGTGAAAGCCTAACATGAGCAAAACCAACATAATTCAACCTGAAAGGAACATTTCCTTCCCAAGCCCTTCACCTTCATTAGGAACTATAGGGTAGGCTCTGCACGGATGATACAGTTTTTCCAATAAAATAATGCTCAAACGTAACAACTGTTAGGAGGAAGAGGGCCTGGGCCTTGTTTTGTTCTGCTGTGCACAGAGGGTCGCTATGAATCTGACAGGAACCTACCATGTTGAGTGTATCTAACATGAACTAACTGATTTGACCATTTGCAAAGAGTAAAAACCAAGGCATCCTTTGGGGAAAACATTCGGTTTTCACCCACTCTAGTAAATCTCAACTTCACCTCCTTTTTACTTATCATATAGTTACAGTGCTTACTTACAGGAAATAATTTGCATTCCAAGGTTTTGAACTTGCTGTTTCCACAATCACAACGAAAATTCCTGAAACAGAGGACAAAGGGCAAGTTTTATTATCTCTGAACTCTAAGAACTTCTTTATTCAAACTCAAATCATAGTGGAACCCTTTCTAATCCTTTCCGAGGTCGCAAAAAAAGTGTGGCCTTGATTGCTGTTCATGTAGTCAATGCAGAATATCCAGTTATGAAGGGCATTTTAAATTCCAGAAATTAACATGCACAAGACACAAATACATTCAAGGGGCCTCCACAGGTTCGTTGTGCTCCATTATCTTTGTGCTCTGTTTTTTCCACTGACTCTTTGAATCCCCCTCCTGTATAAATGTGCCTTCAGGTGTTTACCAGTGAGTGTGTGTACAAAAAATGCCAGAGAAGAATAGGCGGCTTAAGTCTGAACCATAATTATATCTGAAAAGGCCCTGTGGAAAAACTATCCTCTCCACTGACATGATATAAATTAATTTCACTAGTGCACCTCCACTTTTAATGGGGAAAAGTAGAGTGGGGAAAGAAGCAGTCAGTAACCATCGCTGGTGGGCTTTACCTTTTTGTATATAGCTCAAACAGTTTGTGACTTCCGTGGCACTCGTAACTGCACGCCAGACAAATGCCTGCTGGTTCCTCTCCCTCCGGAGTGCAGGTACTGCAGGCGTAGAGCGCTTGTCTCTTCACTGAGCCCTGAAAGAGTCCCAAAGTAGAACCAGAGAGAAGCAGAGAACGAATTCATACAATAGGACAGGATTACCTAACAGTATCATACTAAGATCTGAGAAACAATTAAAATCAGATTGTCTGTCAAGATCTTCCTGTAATACAGAACCACTAAGATAAAGTTAATTCAACAAAGTATCAAAACGGGCTGTGTGTTTCCTATCACTATATATAGCTCTGTTTCCAGTACTAGGAAGTAATAGGAAGTTTTCAAATGGCCATCAACTTGGACCATGATGTTCAGGGTGAACCATTTCAACATAAACATGTACAGGAATGTGTGCAGGTTCTTATAAGTACTATTACACGTTCATTCTGGAGAATGCTGACAATTCTACCAAGGGAAAAAAATCAGTGCATTCTTAGAGAGATTCACATGATGAAGTATTTAGAGGTACAGTCATGAGGTCTACAACTTATTTCCAGATGGCTCAGCCAAAAAGAAAAAACGGTACTAAATAGATAAGAAATAAAATAATAAATGCATCTAAGAGGTTTACAGGTGTTCATAAACAATGTTCTTTAAACTTAGCAATAAATTCCATTTTATTCAAAGTTACAAAATCGAAGGGAAAATGGCCAAAATTTATGTAGGTTTTTAGAAATCTTGATCATGGTTCCACTCCACTAGGGAGCACGAAGAGACATAGAGAAGCTTTCCAATGCCAGGAATGTTCTGGTTCCTGATTGAGAAGATAGGTTCACTTTCCCCCAAAATATATACATATGATTTGTGCAATTTGCCATTGTGGTTTAGTATAATAAAAATGAAACTTCAAAGGAATCTCTCTTATAGAACTGTATTTCAAAAGTAGTTTACACAGGGGCTTATGAAACCTGTCATCTTTAATTTAAAAGGACAGCTGGGACAAAAGTTGTTTTAGTGGTGACCAAAGTTTTTAAAGCACCAGCCAACCTCTGGATGCCAGGATTAGCCAGGAATCCAGTGTGTTATTGGTCAACAATGACTACTGGTATTATGAACTCATCACACTGTGACATAGGGACAGCACGTCTCTTCCCTCATCGCCCAATGCCCCAGGGATCCTCTTATCTAGTTAGCCTTCTTCCTGCAAATGCCTGGTCTTTGCTTTCTCCTCCAAACTCTTCCCCTGCTTGATACCTAGGGTATACACCCCCCCACCTCACCCCCACTGTCATCAAGTCAATTCCAACTCTTAGAAATCCTCCAGGGCAGAGTGGAACTGCTCCCGAAGGCTTCAGAGAATGCCAATCTTTCTGGGAACAACAGCCTCATCTCACTCTCATGGACGGTGGCTGGGGCTTTGAACCACGACCTTGGTGGCGAGCAGCCCAGGGCTTAACCTATTGCTCCTCGGTCACTCCATCACAATCCTTCCAACCCTTAATCACAATGTCTTCCAAAATGTCAACTTCCTCCTCTCCCTGTGCCCCTTGGCAGTGCCACATGCTGCTCTGCTTCAAGTCTGTCCCCAGGAGGACACACCACAGGCAGACATGGCACTTGCTTCCATTTCAACAACAACGACGGGGCGTTTGGCAAACTACACTGCAGAGAGAAAACTAGCTGAGCAGTTCTGCCCACACAGGGCGACTTTCCCATCCAGCGCTTTTAGCCTTGGCGCGAATTCTCCTAATAGAAAACAAGTGATTTTGCCCAAAGACGCGACGGCTGAATCCTCGTCAGAACTGGGTGGGGAGAGGGCCTGCACAACTACATTTCAAATTCTCCCGGAATCCAGACTTTCTGGAACCACCGAGGCAGGAGGAACGCTTGAAACCACTGCCCTGAGATCACCTTTCAACCTTCGATCCCAAGCCCGCCTGAATAAAGTAGGTCGTCCTACAACCAGACAGTGTGGTTTGACTGGTAACGAACGCCTGCCCCGAACAGGCCGCTCTTGCAAGAACCGTCTGGTCGGGATGGAAGCGACACCGGCAGGCGGACCGATTGGGGGGGCGTTTGGGAGGGCGGCGTGTGGAGGTGAACGGGGAGGAGCCACTCGGCCAAAGGCCGCGAACACGGTTGCACAACTTCGAGATGTGATCGGCGCCCCTGCCCTGGACGTGTGGAGACCGTCTGTAGCGGTGTTACGTGTTCTCGGCAACAAAATAAAAACCAGTCAAGCCAATGGTTTGGTTCCCAATAAACACCCTCGGGATGGGAGGAGGAGGAACAAAGATGGATTTCTGTGGTCTCGGAGAGGCGGCTGGGCCACCGAGGACGGAACGCCGGGCGCCGCACGGAGGAAGACCGCGGGAGGGGGGGGAAGGCAGGGCGCAGACCGAGGACCTGGTCCCGGGAGGGGCAGCCCCGCACCGCCCGCCCGCCCGCCCCACACCCGAGCGCACAGCGAGGCGGCGGCGGCGGGAACGGGGAGTCTGGTCGGGAGGGGGGCTCGGCGGGAGCCGGAGGGGAGACGAGGCCCCGGGTCGCGCGCCCACCTGCGAATAGGAGCACTTCTCGGAGTCGCTGCCGCCCAGCACAGCGCACGCCTCATTCTCCAGCTCCTCGTCCTCCTCCAGCACGTCAACCAACGACACCACAGGTTCCAGCTCCGACTGCCGCCCCGCGGCGCTCTCGGCTCCGGCCATCCTCAACTGTCACCCGGCGCAGCGCTGGCTCGGCGGAGGCGGGAAAAAGCGGCCGCGAGAGGCGTAGCCGAAGGAGGCGGGGCCCGAGGGCCGGCAACCAATCCCTGAACCAGGAAGGGAAGGGAAGGGGCGGGGCGACCCCACCCACCCACCGAGCCACGGAAGTCACGCCTCTCCTTTCTCCCGCCCGCGCGCGCTGGCGGCCGGTTTCCGCTTCCGGGTGGTGTCTCGTTCTGGCGCGGGCTTGAAGCTGTGCTGTCGCCATGGAGCTGCTGGGCGAGTTTATCTACTGGGACGGGCGGCGGCGGCAGCTGCGGGTGTCCTTTGAGGTGCCGAACGACGGCGACTCTTTCGAGGGCCTGTTGTCGGCGTTGCAGCAGATGAGGGGGAGCGTGAACGAGCTGCTCAGCCCCCTGATGCAGCGGGAAGCGCCGGACCCCGCGGCGGCGGCGGCGGCGGCGGCGGAGGAGGAGGCCGTGGACGGTGAAGTCGGTGAGTTCTCCGCGGGCACGAAGGGTGGGCGGGGGCGCCGTGGCAGTGGCGGGCTTCCGGTGAAAGAAGTATTCCCGCCAAGACTGGTGAGCACTCACGGCCATCTGGGCTGTTTCCACGGAAGCATTTTCACCACTAGATGCCTTTTCATTTTTACGTCCCCCTCCCGCCCCCAAACGGACTGGGCGCCCGCGGTGGTCAGGCCCGGGGCTGAGCTAGGTGAAGGGACAGCCCCGTGGAACTCAGGCCCGGTGGGGGATTGCAGGCGAGCCCTTCTTCACCGAGTGCAGTGGACGCCCCGTGCCTGCCTCGGCGCCCCGCCCCCCACCAAGGAAGGAAGGCTTCCGAGGGGGCCTGGCTCCTTCGAGCTGAGTGTGGTGGTAAAAAGGTGGTGAGCTGTCGCAGATGGGAACAAACTGCCGTTTTATGTCATCACCGACCTTCCAGGTTCTCTCAGTACCCAGCTTCGTAGGTGGCATTTGGGAAGTGTTAAGACCAGGAAATTGAACGATATTCACTCCCCTCAGCCACCCCCCACCCCCCACCCCCGCCCCTTCTCGTTCCTGCGGTCACTTTTAAAAATCTTATCTGGAGGACAAAAACCAGATCTGATCTGGTTTGGCTCCCTGTTCTGAACGCCTAAAACTTTGACGACACCTTGATAATTTTGGATAATGTGGTGACGCCAATTCAGAACACTACTCGAGTTCAAGATGATAAGTAAACTTAACTCGTTGTTCCCATGTGTGTTGAAAGAGTAGTCCTGTTTCTGGGCATTCTCATCTATTTTAGTGTCATAAGGGCAAGAGTATAGGCATTAAAAAAAACCTACCATGACTTACTGGAAAAATAACTGCCGCCTGTTCTACACATTGAGTCAGTAAAGGAAAGCATTTTTTTAAATTTATTTTTATTTGATGATCAAAACACATTAGTCTGAGTACTTTTGTAAAAAGTGAGAGAGATTAAAGTGGACTTTATGTTGTATGAATTAGATCTCAGAAGATAGATGAGATACAAATTATAACGGCACTTTTAAAAGTTATGGAACCTCAGCTCCAAAAAGACAACCCATTTTAGAAATGGACAAAGTATTTGGCATTTCTCTAAATCAGGCGGCCATGAAGCACACGAAAAGATGCTGAGCCACCAGGGAAATGCAAATCCAAACCACAGGGGTGATTGGAAACATAAACGGGACTGAACTGTACATGTGAAGGTGGTTGAAGTGACACATGTGTTTGTTACCTATAGGCCACATTTAAAAAAAATACTACTTCACAGCCACCAAGATGCCTGTAATAAAGATGATCAAAGGCAAAGGTAAGGTTGCGCAGCCAGATATTTCATTTGTTGTCAGTACGTTGTACCCCTGTAAAATGCTGGATGGGCAAATGTGTGATCGATTTATAGTGTCTACAAAGAAAAAACAAACAGTAGGAGTTCATTGCTGAGGCTGCTTGTGTATACCAAACACCTCATGAGATTTGGTTCCTTGGTTTGAAGGTGTGGGGGCCTGGTTTCATGAACTATATAGTTAATTGGCCTATGATCACCTTCTGTGCTTCTGTTTGACCTACTTGCTTGCCAAGTGGCCTAGTGCCTGAGTCTTAAAAGAGTGCATGAAACCACTCAAGGCACAGCAATTGTTCTCTCTCCATTTGGAGAAATGGAGAGTGGGAATAGGAAGAAAATACGGAATGTGTGGCTAAGGGCCACCTTTTTTGCTGTGAGATTAGCACCTGGCTACCAATACTGGACATTTTGATCAATATTTTCAAAGGAGAATCCATAACAGAAAGGGAGGAAATGCAGAGGAGAATTTCAGATTCTCATAGATTTTGTACTTAACCTTCTAGAACAGTGGTTCTCAACCTTCCTAATGGTGTCACCCTTTAATACAGTTGTTCATGTTGTAGTGACCCCCCAGCCATAAAATTATTTTTGTTGCTACTTCATAACTAATTTTACTACTATTGTGAATCCGGTGACCCCTGTGAAAAGGTCCTTCTACCTCCAAAGGGGTCTCCACCCATAGGTTGAGAACTGCTGTTCTGGAGCCATGGAGGATGGGTGAACCCTGTGGGCCAGAGGTAATTTTTAACCAAAAAGACCCCTAAAGTTGGTCTAAGAACCAGAGTTTAGCTTAACTGGTTTTAAAAAAAAAAAAAGAAGTCCGCCTTGAACATTAAGAACTGTCTATATGGGATCCAGTTGACAGCAGCAGCCCTAGAAGATTAGACTGTCCGCTGAGTGTAGTGAATTATGTAAAGTGAGAGAGGAACAACCCCAAAAAGGAGTCTGCCTCAAAGAATGTAGGCAGTATCGCCAAATTGTATATGTAGGGACCGCTGGATTGTGTGTCCTGTCAACACTCTCAACACAAGGGGGAAAGATGACAACCACAAGTGTTGGTGAGGAAAGTTTGCCTTCTCAAAGCTAACATAGGATTACACGTGGCCCTCCTAGGGCATTTCTTTACCAGTCCCACACCTAGACATAGACCTAGGAGAGATGGAAACATGCCCACCCCCCGAAAAGGAAGCACTGATACATGCCACAACATGGATGAACCCTGAAAACATGCTGCAGGAAAGAACACAGACACAGGGCCATGTGTGAGTCCTTTTAGATAGAAGGTCCAGCACAGACAAGGCCACGGAAGGAAAACAGACGAGCGGTTGTGAGGAGCTGGGACAGAGGATGAGGGCGGAGTAACTGATGATGATTACTGGGCTTCCTTTGAGGGGGATAAAAATGTGCTAGAACGAGATAGGGGTGATGGCTGTATACCCTTGTAAATCTATTTAAACCATTTGCAAAGGGGGAATGTTTTGGTGTGTGAATTTCTGCCCCCGCCCCCCCAAAAAAAGTGATGGAGACAGATTATTTTAGAAAATCTTCCATCATTTATATTTTTGAGTCTGCATGGTTTACTAATCCCCAAATTGAAATGGTCTCTATCAGCCATTTTATTTTATTTTCTACCAGCCATTTTAATGATTGGTGTTTATTTTGAACTATTGAACATGTTATACCACAAATATTTGTTTTAAAAGGTGATGATGAAGATGGTATAGAAGATGAAAATAACGTTGATAATGGAACTAACTCAGATGGACCTTCTGCAAAAAGGCTGAAGTCACCATTTTTACAATAGTGTTGATAAGATTTTTAACTAAAAGACTGCTACTCTCCTAATTACCGTGCACTACCATGTCAGGAAGACTTAAGCATGTTATCATGCTCCTGTTTGGAAAAATCATCTTTTATTCCCCAGGACGATTTTAATCAAAGAAAAAAAATCTGTTTTCTTGAGTGGAGAAGAACTGTCAAACCATTGAAATAAAATTAGAGCCCTTGGATACAATGTGTGCTGTCTATGTTTAAGCTTCTGCTTCAGTTATAAAACTGTACTTAACGTTTCAAGCACAGGAGCAAGTGGGGAAAGTTGGGTATTAAAATATTAGGAGTGATGGCTCATGACACATGGAAGGTAAGTGAGAGCATATTAGATAGAAATGCTGAAGAGAGAATCAGACCCAATCTATAAACCCAAGGAAACCTGAAATCCATACTCAGATGCAATCTATAAACATGCAGAGATGAGACCATTCAATAAATAATGTATTCCTCTCCTGTTTTAATTTAGGCCGCAAGAGCTGATGGATGGAATGTCTTAAATTAACAGCTAATTGTAGCTTAGATATTTTTCTGCCTCTTGTACTTGTTTACAGGACCATTAATTCCTTTAAAGAAACCTGCTTCCTAAAATGCATTTGTGGCTTCCTAAGGCTTTCTACTTGTGTGAAGAGCTAAAGTCTCAGAAACCCACAAGGGCCCGGTTTTACCTTGCCCTGTTGCATCACTATGAATAGGAATCGATGTCAGGAAGTAATTTCACAAATGATCGTTTATTTCTAAAATAGGTTGAATCTCAGAATAAGAATTTATGGCTCATCACTGGCAGAGCTGCATTTTTTGTGTTTGGTGTGTGTGTGTGCACGCGCGTGTGTGCCCCCATGTCTGTGTACATATGTGTATGCATCCATAGTCTATTGCCTTTTGTTTCTTTTAAGAATCCTTCATCACACATGGGCAGAAATGCCTGTTTGGTTAATTTATGATAATGTCTAATATTGGGACTTCAACTCAGTTACTGATTATCGTTATTTTAAATCTATATACAATTCTTTTTTAAAAAAAACCTAAGCTGTATAGAATTAAAATAGGTCCCGTTTTAAAATTAGTAACAGACTGGCTCCCTAAGCAATGTATTTATAAGGGAGGGATTTCAAGAAAAGGTGCTTGTCATAGTGCGTTTCGAGATTCTGGGCTCTAGATTTGATGGGCTTTTTCCTGCATTTCAATTCTGACGGTGGTTCAGTACTGTCTTCTTTGCTAGTAGGTCACGTGAGTCACAAACGGATCAGTGTGAAGAAGCGCGATAGAAGCCACACTTCATTTTCTGATCATCTGCCTTCTAATGGCACAAGTGTTTGCCATCAGCAAGCCAAACCAAGCCCCACTCTGAAATAACTCCAATGTTTCTTTTTACAGGAAAGCTCACCGCACAATCCTACCTAACACTAAATGATTAGAAGTTGGCACTAGATGGTAACATCTTTCAAAATGTGGAACATAACAGCTGTGTACAAGGACGCCCAAAAGCAGTGCTACTTTGGGTCACATTATAAAATAACAAAACTCGGGGGCTGAAGTTAAAAGAATACAGACTTGTAAGAGGTGTCATAGCTTGGCTATACTATTAGGACATTTAAAAATCACCCAGGAAGAAATATTACTTTAGAACAGGGGTCCTCAAACTTTTTAAACAGGGCCAGTTCACTGTCCCTCAGACCCGTTGGAGGGCCGGCCTATAGTTTAAAAAAAAAAACTATGAACAAATTCCTGTGCACACTGCACATGTCTTATTTTGAAGTGAAAAAACAAAACGGGGCAAAAACACCTGGCGGGCCGGATAAATGTCCTCAGCGGGCCGCATGTGGCCCGCAGGCCGCAGTTTGAGGACGCTTGCTGTAGAATATAAGATGGGTGGGATAAACAATCTGGAGGAGAAAACAGCTGTACTGACGGTTCTGGGGGGACATGAAACGGAGAGGTGGGGAAAAGGAAGTGGGTGTTAACCCCAGGGACTAGGGAATAACAAGTGATCTAAAATGGATGTCACTGAGGGTGTAGGAGGCCTGCTAGGGCTTGATCAAGCAGTATAACCAAGAGGAATCACTGAAACCCAAATGAAGGCTGAGCATGACAGTGGGACAAGAGGAAAGTAAAAGAAAATAGAGGAAGGAACTAGGAGGCAAAGGGCATTTATAGAGGTCCAAATACAGGCATGTATATATGTAAATATATTTATATATGATGATGGGGAAATAGCTCTATGTACATACATTTGTAGGTTTAGTATTAAGGTAGCAGAAGGACATTGGGCCTCCCCTCAAGTACTCCCTCAACGCAAGAACACTTTGTTCTATTAACCTGGCATTCCATGATGCTCACCTTTCCAACAGGATTGCTGAAGACAAAGTGGGTGCATAAGGAATGTGGGCACCCACTGATCTGATTTTTAGTTCTTTGATGTCTGATAACTGACCCCTTCTACACCTCGTGGTCAGACAGGCTGGTGTGCTTCTTCCATATGGGCTTTGATGCTTCTCAGCTAGATGGCTGCTTGTTTGTCTTCAAGCCTTTAAGACCCCAGACGCTATATCTTTTGGTAGCCAGGCACCATCAGCTTTCTTCACCACCTTTGCTTATGTTCACATTTTTCTTCAGCAATCATGTCGGGAAGGTGTGCATCCTGGAATGCCAATTTAATAGAAAAATGTGTTCTTGCAATGAGTAAGTGCTTGAGTGGAGGCCCAATGTCCATCTGCTGCCTTAATACTAAGCCTATAAATATATGCACGTAGATCTGTTTCCCCACACTTATATAAATGTATTTATATATGTACATTCCAGTCTTAAAACCTCTTTTAAAAAAAGAAAATGGCCAAGGGGGGTATTCACTGCTCCCTCAACCCCACCCCCTGGTTTAGAAATGGGTGTGCAAAATGGATTTATGCTTATCTTTCAAATTCTGACCCAAGTGCCAAAGTGAACGATACAGTCCTTTGGGGGTCGGGAGCAGGCTCCAAAAACAGACCTACACTTTATCCTGGCATGTACAGAAGCTTTTCACTGCCAGGGTGGGTGCTAAAGAATTTTCTTTCCTGGGAAGGCTGAATAAGTTTGGGAACCTCCTCACCCTGTTTAAGTTTCTATTCCAACATCACCTCCAGGAAGCCTACCTTGACTTCCTGGGCAAGGTTTGGACCTGCAGTGTGTTTCTCCGATACCTATTGCCTGGTGGCACTGCAGCTGAAGCATTGTGCTGCCAATCAAGAGTGCAGTGGTTTGAACCTGCCAGGGGTCGTTGGGGAAAAGGAGGCAGTTGGCTTTAGTACAGATGTTCAGCCTCTACCTAGACTGCACAGCTCTGGCCTGCCCTCTCGGGCCCTGTGAGACGGAATGAATGCCACCGTGGGTTTAGGTTTGCATTTCCACTCTTCACATTTGAAATGGACTTTACTAGAAGCATTTTCCCACTAGTGTGTGTGTGTGTGTGTGTGTGTGTGTTTTCATCAAAAAGGCCCGTACTTGAAAATAAAATTCATGTTTGTTCCCAAATAGATGTTTGTGCCCTTCAATTTATTCCCTCCCAACATCTCCCCCCAACCCCACACACACACACAGAATTAATAAGCTCACTGCCATGGAGCCAGCGGCACATAGTTATCTATCGGACAGGGCTGCGCTGCCCCATTGGGCTTCTGTGACGATCCCTGCGTGAGGGATTAGAAAGTCCCATCTTCCTTCCTCGGAGCAGCGGGTGAAAGCTGCTGACAGTGAACAGCCCCACACATCTTCTCCCCCAGAGCGCCTGTCTCTAGTACTACTGTTTGCTCCATAGTTCCCCACACTTATTTGGCCTACTTGCTCCATAGTTCCCCACACTTATTTGGCCTACTCCCTCCCCCTTTTCAGGAAAAAAAAATTCAGTGTTCCCAGGCAATCAAAACTATTTTTTTGTACTGTGGCCCATAACCCAGGATAAAGTGTTGGTATCGGCTTTTGTAGCAGCTCCCCACCCCACCCCTGATCATTCCAATGCCCCCCTCAGGGATGGTATCAACCACTTTGGGAAACACTGAACTAGGCCCCTGGTAAGGACAGATCTACTTCTCTGTGGGATGTTTATAATCTGTGCTATTATAGAGTATCATTTCTTATATAATCAGTTGCAGTAAGGTGTACACACGTTAGTCATCCTGCAAACCTAGCATTTAACTCAATTGTCAACCACTCCCATGATAAAATGGCACAAATGTTTGTTTGGATTTGGTACAGCTGCAGCTGGTTACACAGCCACGATGTTCAGAACTTCTCACAGCGTGCCTGTTGATAGTTACAGATTGACCAGATTGTGGATGTTCAACCTGACTGTAATCATTTTGTGATAATTATTTATTGGATATTTAAGTATAAGAGTAAAGAATAAAGTTCTCGGGGAAGTTGGGGGGTATACTTTTTTAATGTAATCATTTTATTTGGGGCTCATACAACTCTTATCACAATCCATACATATGTGCATTGTGTCAAGCACATCTGTACACTTGTTGCCCTCACCATTCTCAAAACATTTCCTTTCTAATTGAGCCCTTGGTATCAGCTCATTTTTTCCCTCCCTTCCCCCCTCCCAACTCCCTGGGGAATATTTGACTATTTTAACAAATGAGAAACGAGCTAATTTTCGTGGGTTCCTTTTCCACTCCTTCGAACACAGTGAGCTCCAGGTTTATTCAAGATTGTTATTGTAAAAAAGGGGAAGCACAGAAGTACTAGAAGAAAATGAGATCGTGGTTTCATAGTCGCAAAGTGAGGAAGGCTTTCCTAAGCAAGACTTTAAAAATACAGAAATAGGAAAGATACATAAAACTGACTCCTTAGTGACAGTCCCTACACAAGCCCCCATTCTGTAAAGAAGGTCAAAAGAGTGAAGTATTTCCAGCACCGATGCACATTTAGTATAGTAGTTGCTGTTGGGTTGACACATCGTGACCTACCTATGCCAGACCAGAACTAGGCTCCGTAGGGTTTTGGCATAGTGGGTTACAACTTGGACTGCTACCTTCTTGGTCAGCAGTTTGCAACCACCAGCCACCCCTCAGGAGAAAGATGAGGCTTCCTACTGCCATCAAGAGTTACAGTATCAGACTCCTAGGCTGTCCCACTCCACCCTATAGTCACGATGAATCAGAATCAGCTCTATGGCAGTGAGCTTGATGTTGATTTTTGATAA